GAATTCATTAACATTTTTTAAAGTTCTTCTAACACAGGAACTATTGATAGATTTAACCCAGATAAACAGCAGCCTTTTGGAGTCCTCAGTAATTGTTAAGAGTGTACAGGGGTCTGTAGACCAAGAAGGTTGAGAGCCCCTGGAGAACGGGTGCTCAGGTGCTAGTCTTAGCTGGTATTAAACGGATGCCAAGATGTCTTCTGCATCTGCTCCTGGACTCGAAGTAATTGGCCACATGGAGATGGGTGGGCAGTGCCTCCACTTACAAACCAGAAGCTGCTGAATGTGCCTGGAGTCCGGGCCATGGGCTATGGGTGTGGAGCCGGGTTTCCTGTGCAGAGGCCTGGCCCTGAAGACCCGCTCTCCTTTGCTCCCTGCCAGGTACCGTCTGTGCAGTCAACCCCCTAGAGGGCTTCAGCCTCCACAGAGACGTCTGCATCCACATCGCCTCCCTCCTGAAAACCCTGCTGAAGATGGAGGAGTCGGTACTGGTGCTACCCCCTTGGGGCCGCCTCTACCACTGGCAGAGCCCCGACATCCACCAGGTCTGGATTCCCTGGTCCGACTCCTTTGACCTCCCAAGTCTCAACAGAAACATCCCTGACATTGAGTACGAGCAGTTCATTGCAGGTGAGGTGGTGGTCATTAAACTAAGGCCAGGTGATTGTTGTTCTGGTTCTGGTGTAAATGTCAGGCCGTCTTGCTTCGGGCCTGTTGCTCTGCTTAGGGGCCCTGCTCATGTTTCCCGCACTGCAGGTGGTCTTGGTCTTTTCCACAGTTTTTCTCGGGAAATAGATCTGAAGTGTATGAGCTCTATGTCCCCTCGCCTCTGAAAATCCTGGCCTCCTGGTGAGATGGAGCGGTGACAAGGAGGCCACTGCCACAGAGGCCTTGTCCCAGCAGGACTCGCTCCCTGTGCGGCCAGGGCCGTTAGTACCTGAAGGAAAACGTGTGTGTAGCATGGGCCACGTGCTGGGGAAGATATGTAACTGCCCATCTAGTATAATTTGGTCCTGCTCAAGCTTCCCATTTTAATTTTTGTCAGAGGGAAGAGTTGAAGATTTTCTTAGAATAAAGGTATTTAGAGCTTATCATTGGGGTTTTTTAAATTGAAATTTGGTTGATTTACAATGTTGTGTTAGTTTCAGGTATACAGCATAGTGATTCAGTTGTACATATATGTAGTCTATTCTTTTTCAGGTTCTTTTCCATTATAGGTTGCAAGACACTGAATGTTATTCCCTGTGTTCTACAGTGAATCCTTGTTTGTCTGTTGTACATATAGTAGTTTGTATCTGTTAATCCCAAACTCCTAAGTTTGATTTCTAACTCTGTGAGTCTGTTTTTGTTTTGTAAGTAAATTCATTGTATCATTTTTTAAAATTCCACATATAAGTGATATCATATGATACTTGTCTTTGTCTGACTTATTTCACTTAGAGTGATAATCTCCAGGTCCATCCATGTTCCTGTAAATGGCATTATTTCATTCTTTGTTACGACTGAGTAATATTCTGTTATATCTAAATACCACATCTTTATCCAGTCGTCTGTCAGTGGACGTTTAGGCTGTTTCCATGTCTTGGCCATTATAAACAGTGCTGCTGGGAACATTGGGGTGCAGGTATCTTTTGGAATTAAGGTTCCTTCTGGATATATGCCCAGGAGTGGGATTGCTGGATCAAGTGATAAGTCTTTTTTTTTTTTGTCTTTTGAGGAATCTCCATACTGTTTTCCACAGTGGCTGCACCAAACTACATTCCCACCAACAATGTAGGAGAGTTTCCTTTTCTCCACAGCCTCTCTGGCATTTATGGTTTGTGGACTTTTGAATGATGGTCCTTCTGTCTGGTGTGAGATGATAACTTATTGTAGTTTTGATTTACATTTCTCTGATAATTAGCGATACTGAGCATTTTTTTATGTGCCTATTGGCCATTTGTGTGTCTTCACTGGAGAATTGCTTGTTTAGTTGTTCTGCCCATTTTTGGATTGGGTTGTTTATTTTTTTACTAAGTTGTATGAACTATTTATGTA